CCGCCAGCCCGCCCTGGCCTGAAGCTGAGCAATCTCCATGAAGTGCCCAGGCCTCGGCACTGACAGGGACTCCTGCTCCCCCGGCAGAGCTCCCCGAGGGCTCCCCGCCCTGGACCTCCATGCCTCACACCCAGTTATCTCTGTGGCGTGGCTTCATGGGACAGCGGCCTGGCCTGAGCCTAGGACGCCCGACTGGGCAGTCTAGGGGAGGAGGCCTTCCCCCCGGCACCGCCAGAGGGGGCAGGTCAGGCTTCTTGCCTTCTCAGTGTTCCCATCTAGAGAGTCGTTAGGCTACTTTACAATTGACTTTCATAGCTTTTCACCTTTGTTTTACATCCGCGCCAAGTTTTTGTCCCTCCCCTTTGAAAAGATACAGCACAGAAGTGACGCAGATGTTGGGCCATCCCTTCCCCCTGGTCCAGGGATTTATGTTCTGCACCTCAGGCTTCTTCGGCCGGTTGGGGGCCCCCAGAGAGCTCTCTCCCGCTCCGTCCACACGTCTCCTTGGGGGTTAGCCAGCTGCCTGGGCGCCCAGCGCAGAGCTCCCTAAGTCACGTTCCCTCCCCCGCTGCTCACCTCCCTGCTGTTTCTGGAATAGAACCTGCAGCTGGGGACCCCTAGACTCTAGAGGACGTGAACCTCTCCCCCAGCCCCTTCCTGGGGACCTGCTCTCCCAGCAACCACTTATTCTCCGTGTCCACCTGCCGTCCACCTGCCTCCTGCAGGCTCGGAGCCAAAATGGATTACTCTCCGGGCAGCACAGGCCTGTCCAGCCTTGGGAAACAAGGGCCGTTAGGAGGGAGAGGAACATTTGTTCTTGTCTGTGCCCTTGCTGCCCTCGCCTGCAGGCTGCTCTTGTGAAAAATGACACCCGAATCCTGGGCCCCAGAGCGTTGGGCTCTGCCCCCGAGGGAGGCCGGAGGTGGGCTGGAGCCGGCTCCCCTTGTCTGCGGCCTCCTCTGCCTCGCTCTGTTCCCCACGTCTCCTCCACTCGAGGCAGCCCTGGAAGCAGGCTCTCTGTGACCTTCAAACACCAGTCGCTCCTCGTCTCAGCCCCCCCCTACCCCCCCAGTCTCCTGCCTCCCCTCTGCTCCTCCAGCTTGTCCGCACAACAGCCCAGAAGCTTCTAAACCACACACTGGCCTGGCCTTGCTTAAACCCTCCTGGGCTCCCTCCACCTCTGGTGGAACTTCCCTGCCCCCTCCCCGGCCCCTGGGGGCCGCCTTCTCACCTCTGCCATCTGGCCTCCATGTCAGTACCACTGGACGCTTGGCAGCGCCTTCGCTGTGGCGGGTGTTTCTGACTTAGGGGCACCTGCGCCCGCTGTTTTCCTCGGCCTGTAGCTGCTCCCACCCCGCCACGCCTGCAGAGTCGGACGCATCCTCAGGCTCAGCTAAGACCCCTCTTCCAGCCCCAGGCCTCCCCTCACGGCCCTGAGCTTGCAGTGTTGTCATGTGGGCCTGGCACTGGATGACACGTGGACAAATGAGAGCATTTGGGGAGCAGGGTCCCCGGCCTGGAGGACTGTTTCCTGTATTAGTGCTGTGGGCCACTGTGGGCACTGGTCTGGTGACCCCCCTGCCTCCCTGGGTGTCTGTTTCCTCCCCTGGGGCCACCCAGACTCAAAGGCCCTTTTCCTGCTAAGCAGAGCCTCCAGGGGAGCCTGTCCTGTAAAAGGGGGGATGGAGGCTGGGTGGGGGGGCAGCCTGGGGCGTTGTGCCAGGTTCTTGACCCTGAGGGACCTGCCCAGAGCAGCGGTGGGGAGGGAGGGGCTGGCCTCAGCCAAGCGGACTAATCCCCCAGCGAGGCCAGTGCTGGTCCCTGCCCTCTGTTGTTGGCTCTTCAGATTGTGCCTTTATCCCTTCTAATCTCCCCCTTTGCACCCTGCTCCGGGCTGGCGCTGCAGCTGCAGCCCACGTACCTCCTGAACTCTTTCCTTCTGATTGAGACCAGGGCTGGGCGACATGAGGGCTGCTCCCGTCCTTGTGCACGGGACAGACAGGCCACTGTGCAGCTCAGGGTCCCCATCTGCCCTGGGCGGGGCCGGGGGCGCACTTCAGGGGCTCCTGGTGGAAGGCCTCGGGGCTGAGGCCCAGCTGCCCAGTCATCTGTTCCTCCTAGAAAAGGGGGCTGAGGCTCATGGGGAGGGGCTCCCGGGATCACACCCTCTGTGGAGAATGGGGGTCACCCCAACCCTGCCGGGAGCCCTGGCTTGGCTGGCAGCTGGGGCTGTCCCTGCCAGCAACCGTGGAGCCTCCCCAACCCCACCCTTCTCTGCCGCTGGGGAGTTTATGAATCTCCCCAGAGCCGTAAGTCATGCTGGGAGCTGCTTTCTGCGCTTCCCCACAAGCAGCAAGCCGCCGAGCAGGGATTCCCCGTCCTCTCCCAGCCAGAGGCCCCAGAGCCGCGCCCGGGCCGCCCACAGTCCTCAGATGGGCTCTGTTCAGCTGGTCAGGCCCCCAGAGGGGCTGGGGGTGGGTACGCGAGGCAGACTGCTAGGCCTCCTGCCCCAAGTCCCCCAGCTCCACCCGAGGCCTGAGTCCTCTCCAGACCGCTCACAGGCGGCCGGCCACAGTGCTCCCTGGAGCGGCAGCCTGAGTAGGGGTCACGCCCAGAGGGACTGGAACGTGGGACAGTTGGTGGGGGAGCTGCCTCTGCACCTCCGTCCTCAGGACAGGGGGCCCCAACTGGGCACCAGGGCAGCCATTCACACAGGCCCCGGATTCCCCAGATGTGGCTCCAGGGGTAGGAGAGGGAATAGCTTGAGAAATGACTTTTTTTTTTTTAAGTTATACAATTTTTTTTGGGGGGGGGGGGATTTCAAAGGCTTGCGTGCCTGTAAAACTTTTCTTAAATAGTATAAAAAAGTCAAAAACCACAAAACACCCGTAATCGCACCACTCTGATAGAACCACTGCGACCATTTGGTTGTTTTCCGGGTTTTTTATGCATTTATATATGTTGTATATCTTTAAACAAAAATAGTATCATGCTATATACATTATTTTATAAGCTGCTTTGTCTACTACTCACACCTACATCAGGATCCCTTCCTCGTCAGTGCATAGAGGTCCGCCTTCATTACACAGGCTGCGTGGCATTCACTGCTGTGGACGTGCATATGTAGATAATCAGTCCCCGCAGGTGGACACACAGGTTCTTTCCAGCCCCTCAATCCCCACCCATACCCCGCTCTGCGCTGGGCTCATTCCTGGAGGTGAGGTTCCTGGCTCAAGGGGCCTGCATGTTTCTGAGGCTCTGCTTTCCAGAAAGGTCTACCCTCCTGCACAGCCGGGCGGCAGGAGGGTGAGCGGGGCAATGCCCCAGCCTGGGCCTGCCTGGCCATGCCCCACTGATCCTCTGCCTTCTCCTTCTCTCTAGGGCTGAGCCCATCAGAGCCATCGTCTTCCAGTACCCAGTCGGCTGGCCACCCATCCAGGAGCTGCCGCCATCTCTGCGGGCACCCCCACCGGGGGGCTGGCCCCTGCAGCCCCGCGTCCAGTGGGGCTAGTCCCTCATCCACCCTGGCCCCCTCCGGGTCAGCTCCCACTGCAGTCACAGTAGAAATAAGGGCTCCTGCTGGGGAAGCTGGGGTTCCCTCCTGCTGTGCCCCACAGAGCCTGGCCCGGCTGAGGCGCAGGAGCACCCCCACCAGGTGCAGCCCTGGCCCTGGCCAGTCAGCGCCACCCTCCCTCCCTCATGGGACGTCTTGATGAGACGGGTGAGGAAACTTCCTGTTGGATGTTTATAAAGAAAGTGTCACTACGGCGATATGGCTACGCTTCCCCCTTGCCCGGTGCCCTCGGCTCCGTGCTCTGGCCTCTGGTCAGAAGATGGGCAGATTGGAGTGACAGGTCGTCTTCTCCAGGGCGACCGCGCTGGCTGCCCTGCTCCCTGGGGGGCCGGAAGAGGGTGGCCAGTGTGGCTGCGACCATCACCCGTTTGAGAAGCGGCTCCAGATCTGGGGAGAGAGCTCACGGGCTCGGTCTGCCATTCCCGGCCCCCACATCTGCCCGTGCTGAGCTGGTGCCCGAGCGTGACATGGCTCAGCTGGGGCAGGGATGAGCTGGGTCTCCAGCCTGGTCGGTGTGGAGAATGGGGAGCCCAGGAACACAGGCCCTGGGCTTGAAAGAGCAGCCTGGGTGAGCTTCACGGCACAGCCTGAGCCCCGCAAGGCGGCTGCCTGGGAGGAGGCCCGGCCAGTGGGAGCTCTCGGCCCCTCTGCTTCCTCCTCACTATACTCCAGCTCTATGCTCTGTGTGGGGTGGGAGGGGCAATGTGGCCTCAGGCAAGGGGCCTCTTGGGGGGAACGCAGTGTGGGGGGACTGCAGGGCCACCTCAGTTGCCCGCTCCTCTGGGAGCTTCTGCCCTCCCTGGAAACCCTGTTGATGTGGGAACTGAGGCCAAATCTGGGGACCCTCTGAGCCCTCACCTGTGAAATGGCTGATTCTCTGGCCCCTTGGGTGTGTGACAGGCTGGGTTTGAGTATAAGGAGGGTCAGAGAATGGGGCCCAGCAGAAGGCCAGGGCCCTTAGCCAATGCCCCCTCCCCAGGAAGAGGCTGTCCACCCCCTGCCTGACCCAAACCTCAGGGACCAGGGTCAGGCTAGCTGTTGGCCCTGGGCACCAGGGCCTCTTCCTGCCTGAGGGGCCGCAGCAGCTCCTGGGCCCTGTACCAGTTCCTCCTCTCCCAGGAGCCCCTCGACATGGGAGGAGTTAGTGCTACATACAGGCCAGGGTGAGGCAAGGCAGGGGCAGGGTGCTGGCGGGGCTGGAGGCCGTCCTCAGAGCCGCCCCCAGGCCCTCCACAGCTGGGCCACAGCCCCATGCAAGGGCGGGCGAGGTTGCCGGACATCCAGGCCCCGAAGTACAGGAGGCG